TGACGTCACAGAACCTTTGAACAGTCTACTAAAACGTTTCAAAAAATAATTTCATATTAACTGCAAAGAACAAGGGTAACTTTAATAGCGCTTTTAAAAAGTGACGTCATCGCGAGAACGTCAAGCCTTTAATGTAACCCCACTTTTTATCAATTGTCGGATGAGTTTCTGTTTGTTTATGTAATCTGTAATCCAACTAAAAACATTTTGTAAAAAACTTATCAAGCCTCGATTCTCATTTGTCTCTAAAAAGTAATGAAATCTAGACAAACTCGTGCCATGTCTAAAGATCCTTACAGCGATTTCTTTATTATTATCCACAAGTCCACAAGGATACAAAACCAGGTGCAAGACACCATTGCACTAATCTGTTGCCAGTACCGCTGTTTATTAAATCAAATTTTTCCTTGTGGCCATTTTCCATCTTCAACAGACAAGTCACACAACACGCGCACACAAGTCGGGCTTGACTTGGCTGGGGCACTGCCGTGCCCTCAGATATTACTGAGTTATTAAAAAAATCTCAGTAGTAGCACGGAGTCTGGAACTGTGCCCGGTAAATGGCAATAGGCTCACCCCCTATTACATGGGACTCAAAACATAAATAGTGAAAAGTGGGTGTTACATTGTAAAGTGGTATAATGTGCACCTCTGCCTACCCCTTCGAGGATAAAAGGCGTGATGATGTTATATCCATAACCATTGCTTCATATATATACTTGAGCCTTAGATAGTTACTTGTATTTCTATTACAAATTTTCAAAACTCTTGGAACTCTTGGAAAACTTTTCTAGTAAAACTACTAAATGGACTGGTTCATAGACTATAGTGGATATCCAACTATTGTAAGGCCGTTTTTTTTATAGCAAAGTAGCTTCTGCCAGCTTCTTCGCCCGTATCGTATCGTGGAATAAAACGTAAACTATGTGTGTTATTATTATCTGTTCCAATTTTCATCCTGATGCCTTCAGCCGTATTCACGTAAAAGAGTAACAGACACACACACATCATCACACACATATAATATTAGTAGAATGGACAACAAACCGTACTTACAGTACAAAAAAGTGTACTGTACGTTCACCTTAAAAAAAAGTTAAACCTTTTTATTCGCTTCTATTTATAGTCTACATTTTATAACTTCATTGTATTTTGTACTTTCAGGTTCATCCATCAGGAAAATAAGGAGGGACAAAAGGAAGACAGGTAGGCTTGCAAATGTTTTTTGTACACCAAGTAATAAAAGATATAAACTTATCCGAGATTTGAGTTAAAATGCTTTTAACCAATGACAAGAACTCGTTCAGACGTGAATTTCTTTCCGCGATGTCTTCTTGGGTTGTTGAGATTTTTTTGTGTGATGCTTAAAACTTTTTGTTTGTGGTTGGGAAATACTTAAGTTAGTTTTATAATCTGAGATTTAGTTGTAGATAATACTTAACCTTTCGATATAACATATTCAAAGTTATTGTGAGTTAACCCACGGGTAAATCATTATCATCAACAGCCTATAAATGCCCACTGCTGAGCAAAGCCTCTTCTCACACGGAGAAGGTTTGAGCATCAATCACCACGCTTGCTCAATGCGGATTGGCGATTTAAACTTATAATTAGAAATTATAAGCTCAGGTTTCCTTACGATGTTTTCAATGATGTCTAGATAATCTTAGAAAGTACATATAACTCGGAAAAAGTCACATTGATACTTGTCGATGGTAGGTTTCGAACCCGTACCCTCATGCACGAGAAGCGGGCGTCTTAAACCTCATCATTATACCATACACAATTGGGTAATAGTTTCCTCATGATTTATTGTAATAAAACATAGATACATAACCTCTGTAAATGTACTAAAGAGTCTCAGAAATACTAACTAAACGTTCACCAATTTCGTTCGCTATAACCGGCGGAAAAAATATTCGATCTCTAGTAAAAGAAAAAATAATAACAAATTCGTTTTGATTCGTGCTTAAAACGAAGTTGATTTACTCGTACTGTAATCCCGTCGGAATCGAGAAAATTGTCTCGATTTTTCTATCGAGAGCTTCATCTCGATTTTTTCAAGAATTGATTGATTAAACGGATTCAGAGATATTGTGAGCCGCACGTGTAAATAATTTACGAGGAATCTGTCTCGGTTCTTGAAGACAGTCTCTTATTCCCAAAGCCGATTTTTACTTCATTTTATAAATTGATTATTCAACTGCTTTACTTAGCTACCACACGTGGGTGGGTTAAGAATGACATTTTAAGTTCAAACTCGTTTAAGTAAAGTTTAATCAGTCTTATTACTTTTTTATAATATTAGTGAGATTTTAGCTATATAAGACGTAATCCTCAGTTTGTATTACTATAGACACTTGTCTTATAGCAGTTAATTTAAGTACCAAAAAATGTATCTAGACAGCAAGGTGTAATTTTATGTGACGTATCCAGAGTTTGAGAGTGTGAGAGCAGGGCAAAGAACTATAGGGTTTTTAAAAGAAATCTCAGTCGTAGCACGGAGTCTGAAATTATGCCCGGTATATGGCAATAGGCTCACCCCCTATTACATGGGACTCATAACATAAATAGTGAAAAGTGGGTGTTACATTATACAATGGCATAATGTGCACCTCGATAAAAGGCGTGATGTTATGTATCCAGAGTTTAGACACTTAATTTAACACACATAAATAGATGTAGTAAACTAAATTAGACGTAAAGATAGCGTGCGTAATCCAAGAATAACCTATCCGAATGTCTTATTCAGTGAGATAAGGGTAAAATAATCAGAAAACTAATTTATCCTTCATTATTTTTATATTATCATCATGCGAGCTATTTTCCTTCAGACCCAGTACAAACGAATATCGAAATAATATTACGATACTACCCAGTGCCCACCTAATTACTCAATGTTTTTTTGTAGTAAAACACGCAATTGTGTGTTATACGTGTATTTGTACTTTATTGTTTAATCGTTATTATTTTGTTTTTATTCGAAAACTACGTGTATAATTGAATTTTAATTAAATAATGTATTGATATCAAAATAAAAAGATAATTATCTTACTACCTCTAATATTGTTATAAACGCGAAAAATAAAATTAGTGAGCTTGTGTGCATGTTTGTTGCTCAAATCCGGCAAAAAGTGATTAAGGTTAAGGTCTGGAACATCAGAAGTAATAATAATAATATAATCTGTATGGATCGTAGTTGGTGTACTTTCATACTTATGTTTCAGATGTGTAATTACGATTCAGGTAAATTTTAATATAACTATATGGAATAACTGTAAACGCTAGACTAGTGATTTTGTGTACAACGCAATAAACTTGGGCTATTATCTATTTATTTTTATTTCCACCTAATTTCATTGATCATTTTCAACATTTTAGGACTTGTCGCATTACTATTATTGTCTACATGTTACTCATAATAATCAAAATAATTGTTTTGTATTATTTTGTATTGTCTACTGTTGTGCGTTGTCCGGAAACTTTTCTCTGGAGCCCTGACCACCGGTAGCTTGGATTTCTCGCGTTACTGGTAGGCTACTGATTTGTCAAAAATTTAAAAATAAATAACTACTTAGTTAAAGTAAAAGAATACATATATAAAGAATAAATAATATTATTTCTAATTAACTCAACAATCTCTCAGCCCTATTGACATTGAAAGGTTATTCATCAATTTAAACAATCAATCATTTCGTTCGGTCAAAAATTGGACAGATCACCTGACTCAAAAACATTGCTGTATTGTTCCCGTTTTACAAAAGGTGTTGTATTGTTCCTCAAAATATTTGTTTTTGTTTGAAAAATATCTGCATTTTATTGTGTTTGTACACACGGCTACATAACCAGTATAAACTGAACGTTAAATGTGCAGAAAGATGATGCAACGCGACACCAAGATAAACTGGTTTTGTATAGATTGATGTGTGGCCTTGTGTACAGCTCACAATTTCCCGTTGATCCCATTCATTGGAGTTTTAATGAAAATAACACATGGTGTGTTTAAGGGAATTAGAACGATACGACAGCATACAATGGTGTTGAGCAAACAAAATAGGATTTGAATTGAAATTAAATGTAAATATTATTTTTTTTTCTGTTTTCGGGTTTTATTTCTGGAAGATAGGTGCAGCTCTTATCCTACACACGTGCATTATATTAATTAATATTGTTAATGATGTTTATACAAATAACATGATATTATACATTCTTGCTTTGGCACAAATGGGACGAAAACGATTTAACTTTCACAGTGTACCTCTATAGAATTAATTGTTCGTAACTTAATTGGGTGTATCATCCACAACCTATTTACAAAGTATCTGCTATTACTATTAAGAAAACTTTTGCCCAAAATTGTTATTTCTCTTACCTAATTGGTTTCCTTTGATAGTTAGACCGTTGTTAGTTCAAAGTAAATAAGTTTTTGGCCGAAACACTCTTTGATTTTCGTTCATTATTTTAATTGGATCTGCTTGTTGTCGGTCCATTTAGCTTATTTCTATTGTTGCGTAAAAAAGTTGTGATCTAAATTAATTTTAGTGTCTATTATGGGTATGTATGTTACTTTGTTAGATTATATTACTATGGTATCTGAAAATATGAGTATTCTACGTAGAGATTTCTATTTGTGAATCTAAGATCTTGCATGAATATCTCTGATTAAAATTAAATAAATAGAAAAATAAATTCCTATGCATTTTCAGTTTTGGTTCTACCAGTAAAATTATTCTATTTGGTTTTAGAGCAGCTCTAAAAGGACTTTTTAACTTGGATGTTTTCAAGTTCCGAACAGTTTGCTCATAGGTAGGCGTGCTCCATCAACGGCCACATTATCAATTACCACCAGGTCAGACGCCAACAAATCAAGTATTAAAAAACATCAAAGGATTTTTTTAGTAATTGCTAAGATTCAGTTGCTTTGTAAATACCAGTGAACCTCCGAGAAACACGAGTAACTCTGGTGTAGACGATATAAAAATGAACTAGTAGGTACTCACCATAATAAACATCGTCCAGTTCCTTATACCTCTTAGCATTGACTCCAATTCTCCAACTGTACAACAGCACTACTAATATTGATATATTCTGGAACAAAAATACAATATACTGTTAAATAAATACATATTAATTTTTATTAAAGTAAGAAGAAAATGATCTTAAGTTGAGCTCCTCTAATCAAGAATGATTATTTCTCTTATTTTTATGTTTGATGGGCTGACGTTTGACTCTCTCTCTTTCTTTTGATTTATGGATAGGTGGCCATTTCTAACATCTTAAGCTTCCTTAGTACCTCTAAAAGTACTTTAATAGAGGTATAACCGAACGATATTATGATTACGTAGAATCCGAAAAAAGTGAAATAAGTGTAGGAGAGCCATGCTTCGGCACGAATGGGCCGGCTCGACCGGAGTGATACCACGGCCTCACAGAAAATCGACGTGAAATAACACTTGCGTTGTTCGTATGAGCGGGGTAACCGGAGGCCTAACTTACCCACTCCCCAATAATCCTCAAATTCCTTCCAAAAAGCCAGTACCTAATGCACTTGTAACACCTCTGGTGCTTCAGGTGACCATTGGCGACGTCGATTGCTTACCATCAGGTGATTCATTTGCTCGTTTATAGGCTTATTCCACTGGAATAGTATACTATAGCCAAGTTATAATGAACAGACATACATATTATGAATTTAGAATTTATTCGAAAGTTTGAATTGACTATTGCATTTGCAATTGACAATATCTGGTCAAGCCTCTTTATCCAAACCAAGGGAAGAAACAGCGAGAAAGAAAGACATTCTCTAGCACTTATGTACGTTACATACAAAAATATAGCATACAAAATAACAAAGATACAATAGTAAAACAAGTCTTAGAACTAAAGAAATATTTGTAAAGAGTGAACTGCATATTTATTAACAGGAACTGTTGACCCTCTCGACTGAGACACGAGTATTGATCACTGCCTTACTGAATACGTATAGAACTGTTTAGCCATTTTATTTTTTGTCTTATGTCCTTATCATCAGTGTCTTACATGTTAATGAATCTTAATTACTTGATATGTATAAAGCCCCAAAATTTGTTCATAGAAAAGTAGTCTCTAAAATTTGGATATATGATCTATAATGAAGTTAATGGAGAGCGGTCACCGGTGATCGCTTAGTATAGATAGTTTTGAATGAAGGTTTAATCGCACGGTGCCTTTGACACAAATCAAAACGTTGTTCTGTAACACTGTCTGTTATGTCAAATATGTAAATTCAAAAATATAAAAATATTTATTTTGTATATCTTTATACATACGAATTTATTTTTAAATAAGCTAACGTCTCCCCTTAAATTTGTTCATACAAAAGTAGTCTCTAAACATCGGAAATAAGGTCTATGACATAATTAGTTGAGGGCGACTACCCGGTGACTACCGGTGACCGCTTGGGGATAAATAGGCGTCGATCATAAACTTCTTGATAAAGGCTAGAAAAGTAACCTAATGCTTACACAACTTTTAAGAGAAAAATGAAGGAAATACTGCATTACCTTCGAAATTCAATACTATGAAATCGAAGTTTGAATTCTGATAAGTTAAAACCACTTAAAGTTGGCAGGTAGAGTGCTCAAGGAACGAATACTTGAAAATAAGTAAGTAGGAACATACATATCGAGTAAAATAACCAGTCTATTGTGGCCTCAGTTTGTATAAATTTTCCATACACTCGACGGTCAGCTTATACTGGTGTTTTATAGTTTGAAGTGTAGTACGTAGATGTGGTCTCCTTTCTAGCCAAATGGATAGTGGTAATAAAAATAGTAATGCGAACGTAGGACACTGTTTTATCTCCTACATAGTTGTCAAGGAAATGGTAAGTAATGGGTTTCGAAAAATGTGTGTGGGTAATAGAAATTGGTTTACAATTCATTTTAGAAACCTTTTTTTTGGAGAGTTTAAGCATAATGTGATACGTCGATCAGGTATTTTTATATATTTGATAGATATACATATATTTCATGACTAGAGGGCTGGTCTGCTTCTCGGTCAGAAGTTAAACATTACAACAACTTGACCCAACAGGGCTGATGCCGATTCGGAGTCGGGGAGAACCTAACGGGTTACCAGGGCTCCGGATCGACGTGCAGGAGAAGGAACGGGGTGGTTTTAGTCAGTAAGAGTCTGACATTCCCTCCCGCCTCACCCAGGCGGGAGCAGTCATTCAATGATTTTCCCCCCTTAAAAAAAATGCTGACAGCCTTCTGGGTACTTTGCCTATTGACGTCGATGCGGACGAATTTATTGATGCTTTCTGTAAATAGTCATTTTTAGTTTTTTTTTTTTATTTAAATCACTCTATTAGTTGTAGTTTATTTTAAGTTGTATATATTTATTTATTTTCATATATCATGAGAATAAGTGGATACTAAAAATAAAGGGGACATCTCGATTTTCGAGCATAATGATAGATTTACCATAATTTTTGTGGGATCAGAGTTTTTAAGTTGAGCATCATGAGTATTTCTTTTTTTTAAGGGGGAAAAATCATCGAATGACTGCTCCCGCCTGGGTGAGGCGGGAGGGAATGTCAGACTCTTACTGACTAAAAACCACCCCGTTCCTTCTCCTGCACGTCGAGCCGGAGCCCCGGTTACCCGTTAGGTTCTCCGCGACAGCATAATGAGCATACCAACTAAAAGTAAATCAATCCATGTTTTAAAGATTGTAATTATGTTTCCAATGGTTAGTAGGCATCTGTCAATTTTATAAGACATAGATATTACTTAGCATTTTTGTGTATTTAAGTTTGTGTAAAACACGTAAGGCCTACAAGTATATTTAATGTCTTATTTCTCCACGGGACGTCGGTCGAATTAATACCATAATTCCCCTTATAAGTACGTAATGAACGTAAATAATGTTCGGAATAACGATAGCTCATAATTTATGATTGCTTTGTTCAGCAGCTCTTCGTAATGGCTCCATATATTGGGAGATTTTCCGACATTTGTATTATTACTATATCAGGTGATAAAAGGCTTAATATTATTTATAGAAGAGTAATTCACATATTATTCGACTCATTTTATTATTTTCAGTAGTTTTTGGTTTTAATAGCCAGTTGGAGACATTAATTCTACTAAATTTTGCCCCTCCCAAATCTCTCAAGTGAAACAAGTGAATTTATTTCTGCAAATAGGCTACAAGGTACAACAGTACTTTTACACGTCAATTTCATGAAGCGAACGATGGGGTCGACATTTCCTAACTGACTACTCTGAAAAGAAATGCCGAAACAAACTCAGAGGTCTGTCTCTTTTAAAGTCCAGACAATATGTATCACAGATTATGTGTGAGAACCCTGCCAGTTCTTTCTGTAGTGGCCTTTTGAGGAAAGAACCACAACTGTTTAAAAGCGGACCCGTTCTGAAGGCAGTACGCATGTGTCAGTTTACAGTCAGCTCAATTAACAGATGAGGCTGACTGATTCGACGAACAATACCAACCCAAAGAACATTTGCGTAGGCCGCACAAGTACTCAAACAAAATCTCAAAATCCCTAACCCCCAAAAGAGCAATACATTTGTAACTCCTCTGTGTCTTAGGTGTCCATGGGCGGTGCCAATTACTTAGTTACCATCAAGTAGGCAGCTGGCTGAATCGTATTTAACCCAAAAAGATCTTTAAAAGTTGACATGCAAATCTAAGAATGTCACTCCTCCTTACTCGTTCTAGGTATTAATGAGTGAGCAGGTCGACTTACGACTTAAATAACAACTCACTTACCTTTATTTCCTAAAAACTAGCTATAACACCCAAAGACCCCTTCAACGTCATCATCATCAACATCAACAGCTCATAAGTGGCCACTGTTAACTAAAGACTTCTTCTCACACGGAGAAGGTTTGAGCATTCATTGCCAGGCTTGCTCAATGCGGGTTGATTAAAATTATCATTGTAAATTATTAGCTCCCATGGCAGAGACTAGGGAACGCCAATTATCTCCATGGGTGACAGGCATGAAGTTATATATTATGTATGTATGTATTATCAGCTCTGGTTTCCTCACTAAGTTTTCCTTCACCATTTGTCAGTTGTTTCGAAATAATCTTAGAGTAGAAAGTACATATAGTTAACTCGGAAAAAGTCATGACAAAACCTACCAACAGCAAGTACTCATGTGAAAGACCCTATAACAGCAATTAATACTAAAACACTTGTAGCATCGTTCAATAATTACCCAAAGTGTTGGTAACTATTAGTTGGGCGTGCAATTCTGACGTCAGCACACAGAGTTTGAGATGACATCTGTTAGCTGGATGTTATTGAAACTTGGCCAATACCGAACAACTTCAACAGCTAAACTAACTTCAACGTGTGGACGATCACAGGATTTACGACATATTCGTAGAATTAATTCAAAGTTGGTGCCGCGGTAGTTGGCTTGTAACAGTGATTGCTAGTATCTTCTTTATATATGTTCTGTGGCTAGTTATACTGTATACGTGAGGGAATTATTTTGTTCTTTTTCCTAGATTGTTGTATTCACGTGAAAAGCTTTACTAGGTTTTTTGAGTCACCGAGGGGCTCTTCCTTATGAGCAGCGTGCGCGGTCGCGGCGACGTGGCACAGCCTACTGTCAGTTTTAGTCAGTTTAGTATGTCTGTAGTATAAAAATATTTTCTTATTCGTCTGGTCAGTTTTGAGATGGTATTATTCTTGCTCAGAGCTATTTAAAAATTTTTACTCAGTTTCTGATAGATATGAAAACAGTAGAAAATCTTTAGAAAAGATGCCGATGATATCACGATTTAGATGAAATAGAGAAAAATGTTAACGTTAATTTGCAGAAGACATTGAATCTAATTACAATAGTTAATATTTTGTAAAAGAAAACTGAGGTTGATTAAATTAATTTATTAAAGTATTAAGTCATACAATTTGTAAGAAGTACTAAGTACTACTGGTTTTTTTTTAAGAAAAAAATTTCAGTAGTAGCTCGGAGTCTGGAATTGTGCTCGATATATGGCAATAGGCTCACTCCCTATTACATGGGACTCATAGCATAAATATTGAAAATTGAGTGTTACATTGTA